GCGTTGAACACACTTGCCGAGCATTGAAGCGATTTAGTGACTCGGCGTCGGATATACGCGCGCCGAACTCTCTCACCGAGCGTTGAAATCACCGAATGAATGAGCCAGAATCCCGTTCGTCGAACTCTCCTGCTAAGTAGAGTACCATTCATCGGATTAACGGAGTCTCGTTGTTTGGATTTTTATGTACGTGTTACCACTACGGCTTAGTTGCTTCTGTATACTATATTTTTAATAAATATTGAAATAATATTTATATATATCGTTAACTGAGGGAAAAAAATAAATTCATCTACATTTAATAAAAACAAAAATAAAGAGAAGTATATAATTCATCTACAATCGATAAACGGAAAAAATAATTTCTTACCAACGTAGTTACCACATTTCTCCTGAAATATCGAACTCAACGTCTCCAACTAGCTCAGCCGCATCATCGTTATCATCGAGCACCAATTTCTCCCAGCTGTCACAATCGGCTCGAAATAAATAAAGACGTTTGAAGAACCGAAATTGCCCGAGAAACTGTACGCGAATAGTGAAAATAAAATAGAAATCAGGTTACCAGTTTGCCAATCGTTTATTACCAAACTGCATTTTTCCCTCCACGCGGCGGGTTTCTTTCTGCACGTGTATCCCAACGTTTCGAAGGTGAATTCTGTAACAACTCCCTCGAACTCTCTCAAATTTTTCACCAACGATACGAAAGAAACGCGCAACCCGTTTCAAGGAATCGTAAAAGGTGAGTCAGGCAAATATGGACAACCAGCTGTGGGCAACGTGGTTTTGGCACGAACGTATTAGACGCGATTGCGTGCCTCCGTGATAATCGTAACGATTTGCCCGTGATTATGTCGCGAACGTCTTAATTGTTTTGTTGACAGCGCGGGAACGAGGCGAGAATATTTCTCGCGCTCAGGAAACACACTGTTCGGTCACGAGATACAATTTTAAGTAATATCTGTTACCTTTTTGGTTAAAAAATGAAAACCGTCTAAAATATGAACTAAAATAAAAAAAAAATTTTAAAGTCAGCCTTCATAAAGTTAAAGAATTGTTCAGAATGCTACTTGTTTGGTTCTTTCGGTCCACAGCGAAACAAGTAAACTCCATTACCGATTTTACGCTCGGCTCGAAACGCAACCATTTCGTTGCGTGTGCAATAGGTTTACAAAATGATCGACGACTCCACGTGGAAAGCTTTTCAATGTCGCAAATTGATCGCCACTCCATATACCGCGTCCGCGGAGGTTGCAGTATGGGTAATTTGCGACGTTCCGCGTTTCTTGCGATCGAAACGCTGTCGAGTAGCGTACTCATGGTCGACGTATTCGAGAGCTGCGCGAATATCTCGGAGTATCAACGATTTTCATGTATTTTCGAATATTGTAAATTTTCCATTCGCAACACTTGGAGCAAATATTATCGCGAATAGGTGACAATACACGGGGCACGGTACGAATAAACACTCGATGAATTTCCTCGAAGTCCACTTCTGTTGAATTAGAAAAAATGAAACTTCATGAATTTTGCATCGAGTTTCACGAATTCGATAGAATTCCATCTTAATTCCATTTTAATGCTAAACGAAAGAATATTTCTTAATGACACGTTCTTCAATCGAATGCAAAAATATTTTTGAATTTATTGTATATAAGAACTGTATTTAAAAGTTTGAAAAAGGTCACCGGCGGTTACCACCGGTGGCTCACGCTCGCGTGTCTATCAGACGGTGGGTACCACCGCGCCGCCCCATGGCGAGAAACATCGTCGTCGTGAACGTGTTAAGTAAAGGTACTGTTAAAATAATTTCTTTGCGGCGAAGTAACGAACGTACAACGTAATTGTCAGTCTCAGAGTCGAGATCGGTACAGAAACGAGTGGCCAAAAGTTCAGCCCAAGTAACTGGAGCGAATGGAATGTAACGCTTTCAAAAATCATTATCTTTGTTCTGGTTACATCAACGCATTGAATAACACTGTGTTTTGCGAATAAACCAGTGCTCGCAGTCGACTCTTCCTGCAACGCGATTTACGTATGCTACCATGAAACGTATTAATTCGTAGTTCTTCCTAATTAGCGCTCTTCAGGGATAATCGCATTCGTTGATTACATAGTTGTCGTTAACATTTAAATTGTTACATTATCACACTTATACATATGTTCAGTATGACTGGTAGCCTAGTGATCTCGCGTTCAAACTGCCAACGCTGTTGGATAGGCATTAAATCATGCGATTGTGACTTTCTTGTCAGTGAAATGGAAAGTTCGCCTAATTCGAGGCGATTGCAGACTTTCGTTCTTTGTGCGCGGCTAATCGTCGCTGAGGAAGTAAAATTTTGTTACGTAATTCGGCTAAAAGACGGACAGAACAGTTGTTTCCTGAACTCGACCGATCCCTCTATTACGGCTCTTTCATAACCACTTTTTATCCACTCCGATATTGTTAATCGATGATTACTCTCCATATATGCAGAGTTGCATGCAAATTTTCTGCAAGGAGAATCTGAAATTCGAATACGCTAATGTTTACACTTCTATTTTAATGATGCTGAAGTAATAGAACGACGTCATTAGAGTATTCTGAGCTTAACTTATCTGATTTATGGATAGAGTCTCAGAGAAGCGCTCGAAAGGAAGGCTTTGAGTGGGGGAATGCTGGAGGAGAGGGTTTTGGGTAGGGGAAGTGTTAGAGGGAAGAACCTTGAGATGGGGACGCTGTAGAAGCAACCCTTGAGTGAGAGAAACGCTGTAGGGGAAGGCTTTGAGTGGTTGGAGCGCTGAACTAGAGAGCTTTGAATGGGGAAAGCGCTAGAGGAGCAAACTTTGGGTAGTGGAAGTACTAAAGTTGAGAGCTTTGAGATGGGGGCGCTGTAGCAGCGATTCTCGAGTAGAAGAAGCGCTGTAGGGGAAGGCTTTGAGTGGTTCGAGCGCTGAACTAGAGAGCTTTGAATGGGGAAAGCGCTAGAGGAGCAAACTTTGGGTAGTGGAAGTAATAAAGTTGAGAGCTTTGAGTGGGGGAAACGCTAGATAGGAGAGCTTTGATTAGGGGACTGCCAGAAGGGGGAGTACATCTCGCTCGAATCACTTTGAAAGATTTCAAATTCCTTTTGACACGCGTGTTTCGAAGGAAACCGCCTTGACATTATTCACGGCTGTGTTCCATCCGTGTCGCATCGTATATCACTCGGAACGAGCGAAGATCATTAACTGTGCGCCATTTCACAATCACCGTGACGAATTCGCTCGAATAATTTATCGATGAATCTTTAGTCCATCGAGCTACATTAATTATTGCTTCCATTTCATTTGTACACACGTCTCGTTATGCACGGCGATGTTTTGAATATTCAAAGTCCCTTGACCGTCGACGCAAAAGCGCGCTTCAACGAAGACGGCGGCCGATGAGACTGGAAGAAAATCTCACGATTACTGTGAACGTTAGAGAAACGAAACATCTTTTTCGTTTGTCCTTGAATCCAATTAGCCACGACACGTGATCTTTTCTTCACCTTGGTTTCACCTTTGATCTGCCCCAAACTTCGTCGTTTGCTACGAAGAATGTATCTTTGGTTTACTGGTATTTAACGAACGTCTATTGACGACGGACAAACACGCGGCAAATTACAAGGTACACGTACACGCGATATTTGCATTTCGACGTGTGCGATTTAGAAGAAAAAAGGAGCGTGACGTGGAAGTACTAACGACGGGTGAGAACTTTGTCTTTATGTACAGGCTGATATGTGGTCCTTTTAAAGAACGTTACTTAGCAGCATTTATTAGAATTAATGAGTAATACTCTTAGCCACTAAGGTAAGTTATTTAGTGTAAGGTAGGTATTTCTTCAGGGGAATTAATTTCGAGGAAGTGACTGCTAGTCTAATTACAACTACCTTATCAGTATATAAATTGCCCCATTATATTGAAATTTATAAAAGGAAGGAATTCATTATTCCAATGCATTTCAGACGGTGGGCTGCAACCTTAGACCCCTGACTAAATACACACGTACCAGTAAAGAGCTATAACTCTGTGAAATAATGAGTTTTTAACAAAGTTTTGTTGTTTCATTTCAACATATCTACTTTAAGAAATAATTACTAATTATTTTTAATAAGTAACCCTTATATGAAGACAATTGCTCGATAAAACTTGTGAGAAACAAATTGAGCATTACGCCAACTAGCGGTAGTACACAAAAGTCGTTAGTTTCAAACAGAGTGCGATGTAAAACTATCAATTTTACACGCAGTCGGTATTATAGTTGACGTCGGAGGAACTGCGATACCGACATTAAAAGATAATCAACACTAGCACTCTCTGGCTTACCAACAGTGAATATAAACAACATTCTGAACACCTTACCATGTGCCTTGCCATTTTCAACGTTATCGACTGACATTGGAATACTATCTCAGCGCTATTAACGGTGAGAATTAAAACTAAGTGCGCGGATCTAGACACGAGATTTGAACTGTTGAGTAAAAGTAGAATGTTTTAAGGCTTACAGGTATAATGAATTATAAGAGCAAGATCGCAGCCAATTTGCTGTTACTACTTGCTATGTAATTAATTGCTGCATCACCCTTCTACTGGAAGATTCATATTAGGGGTGTCATTCCAAAAATGATTACGCGTGTACCTAAATAATAGGAACCTATTTATGAACCAATATCAACAGTTCGAGATTCAACGAAATCCAAGATAAACAAAAAGACTGTCGCTTCCAAGTCGCTTCAAAGTGTAAAGGGTAAACACGAATCTCCGTTCAATTCTAACGCGACTCGATCTACAATCTCCATTCTAATCTCTGATTTTGCAGGAACGCTTCGAAACGCGAAAGAGAAAGATCCATCGCTACCCCTTCCCACCGTCGCTGCACCTATGATGGTCGCGGCACCTTTCATGAAAGACACACGGTTTGACTCGCCGATTCTTAGATCCCCCACCGTTTAACCACCTAAGTTAGACTTGATCTTGATTTCCCAAAGCGAGCAGTCGGCACCGCAGTCGTGTGTTCGATGGTGCGACGACCGGAGCTTGGTGGATTTGGCTCGCACGGAAATGCGTCTCGGTTCGTTGTCATGACATACATCCGTGAGGCCATTTACGGATTCGACGATCGATCGTTAGGAATCTTCGACCGGCAGTTCGTTTCGTGCGATCACCGTGGCCTGTCACCGATAACGCTCGATTGCGTTCAAACAAACCGAAACACCGAGTCCTCGACGCACGTAAACGATAACATCGCGAATTCCGTATAATTTGCTGGACGATATTAACTCGAAAATCTAAAAGGTTCGATTCGCGAGTTCACCTTTGTTCGTGCCGTTCGAGAACGATGTGCCTATGGCTGACGCACTTTGAGTAGCTTGTGAGTGAAACCCGAGTAAAATTCGATCCTTATAAATCCTACAATTGATGCCAGTGACGCTATCGATAAAAATCGCACCCCTTTTCATTTTGTCACGCTCTGAAATTTATGTATTTCGAGTAAACGTTGAAATTAAGTTTCACAGGCAACGCGTAGATACTCGTCACCCAAGTAAATTTTCCATACGTGGTTCTACGCGCGTATCCGGAGAAATTACTCTTGCTTTTATTAATCGTAAACTTTTCTCCGGATACGTAGATTGACCGGTATATGCTCGAGAACGTTCGTGCAACGTGTAAAACATTTACTGAGTCAATGATATTCAATCATTGCTTGCGAGACAGTTTTTGAACGTCAATTAAAACTGTCATGCAGAAGTATAAGTAAAATTCGTATATCAATCCTCCGCATTTCCAACATGCTTACGGACTCTGAAACCAACCCCTAATTAGACTAACCCCATGCCACGAACGTCGCCATTCGTGGACGTAATCGCTACAATAATTTTGTACAATAATTTTGTACAATAATTTTTTCCCAAGAATCCCGAACGAGGATCGAGAGACGAGTAGGCGAAACACGGGTAACTGAATCGATTCTACGCACATGGCTTTGCATTAGAAACTCCAGAAAGTTGCACACGCTACGAGAAACGTTTCAGAGAGAGAAAGGAAGAAAAGTGTGTAAAAAAGACTTTAACGCAAGATCTCGAGCTATTTAGTATTGCGTCGCGTGTTTTATATTTTATTTGACGTACGACCGGATTCGAGGCAACTCGTCCAAGTGACTGTGTTGTGACCGAACGTTGAGTAGAACTATCGATATCGAGTTCGACGATAGACGGAAGGAGAGGCTCTCTCGACGGAAGAGGCTGGTGGAAAAGGAGACGGACAGCGCGTGTCTCTAATTTCCAAACATCCGAGGATAATCATCGCCGAGGTAAGCGTAATAGACTTTATTACTTGGTTAGCTACTAGAAAATAATAATTGGGGGATGGAATGTGGCGTTTCATCGAGTTCATTATAGAAGGATTTAAGAGATGCTCCTTGATGGAAAACAGGTGGTTTTTAGAAAAGTGCTTCGGTATTCTTCTTCGAGAATTAATTTTGAGAAAGTGAACGCAAGTCCGGATTTTTCCTACTGAACGATGGTTATTCGCACCTTGAAGAACGACGAAATTATTTTTTAATTACATATACGTGTACAAAAAAAATGGTCCAGTACGTGGTAAATGAAAATTGTTTTCTTGGAAGTCGACGATTATTAAATCTACATTCTACTTAAATTTGGTATGCAAATTGTTGACATTGTAGCTTTGAGGTCGCTTCCTTAGCAATTCGAGTGTGGCAATAAAAATACCCATAAAATTGTAGAATCTGCGTATGAGAATGATGGTGATGTGTTGTGTCATCGAATTACGTGGAGTATAATTATAGTCCAACAATGTTTTTGTTTTTATCAAATTATCTTTGAATCATATTTTTGCCTAGTTATCGTGAGTTAGAAAAATGTCTGTTACGTTAAAATTTATATAAAATATTAAAACGTGTGTACGTTGGGACGTAATTAACATTTTTTTATTGACATTAACGACGGTAATAACAACATGGAACAATTGAAATATGTCAGAAACTGTGTTTTATGTCAGTTGTATTCCTCGAAGTTCCGAGAACGTCTGAAGACAATTAAATCGATCGTTATCGTCGGTAATGACCGACCACCTTTGCCGAGTAAAAATGCACGACGCGTATCTTCTCAATTTTCGATGTTACACAGTTGACCTCACGAATTAATATATCTGGTGGTCATAATAATATTAGACTGTTCGTATATTTTATATGCAGCGAGATCATTGATGAAGTAGCATCGATTGACACAAAATCGATAACCTTTCATTATTGCGTCAAGTGTACAGGGTTAACAAAATGTAATATCTGCAAAATTTACTTGGTCCCTTTTAATCTCAAAATGATCGCGAACCAAAATATTATTTTCAATTCATAATCCTGTAACATAAGTTTATCGTACTTCAGAGTACACCAAACAACAATCGCAGTATCGAGATTTTCGCTACTTTTCTTGATAGGATGACTGTAAGTCTCGTCGTTACGTGCGACTATAATCTATGAAGGAACATTAGGAAGCGTTGCGTAATAGAAGAAACGAGGAAGAGGACACTTAGCATACCACCTAATTCATGGTACATGAAGGAAGAGACTGCGAATGTAGAGACCAGCGAAGATTCAGAAGGGAACTGATCGTTCGATTAATTAGCTTTCTTGGATGGAGTGATCGATGAACACTATAATCTCCAAGAAGAAGATTTTACCAGAAGAAAAGGTTAAATAAAAAAAGAGGAAGAATGACATAACAGAGAATTGGTCAAGTTAAAACTTGAACGGTTCCGTACAGAGTTACTTATCTATGAATATTTAAGTCTGAGACCTTAATTATGTACATATTTTGATCACTCGACTCTGCAAAATGCACAACAAAAAAGTGCTGATGCCAAAGATACTTCACTCACGGAGTATCGTAACGCGACTTTAAGTATGCCGAGCTTCTTTTTCGACGAGTTGAAAAAAAGACAAAAAACACTGGAAAATCATAATATTATTTATTAGGGTTTTTTTTTTCCAGAATATGTCGACTACTAGGATTACACATGTATGCATAAATATCACGCATTGTAAATTATGCATTTGTGAAGAAATAATGGGCAGAAATGTGCGATGGTGTATAATATGAGGATGTGATGATACGACAACGACAGAACGTGACGAATGCGATGACATGATGAACACGACTGTGGACAACATGACGGAATGACGAACACGATTATGGACGACACGATTATATGACGGCGTGACGAAGCTGACGAACGTGACGACGTGACAATATGACAAATTTGACGATATATCGACTCAACGGGGCGTCGGTATGCCGACAGGACGACTTCCATCACTTTCAACGATCCAAGCCGTCATTTTGTATCCATAAAAAGAAGTTTTCTATATTTTGCAATCGGCAGATCGTCGCGTGCCAAAAATACATTAACGTCAACGACCAGTTTTGATTCACTTGCGGCGGTGCCAGGCCCGCAGGCTCCACGTGCCCCACCAAACCCGTTCTCCACGACGTTTTACTTTCTTCCTCCGACGCGATTCACGAAAGTGACGCAAAATCGAACCCGTTGACCTCCCGCGGCACGGTCAAAAACTGATTGAGAGAGATGCTGCCACGACCCATTCGAACGCGAATTTCTCCCGAGCGAATTTACTTTCTACACTCACCTATTTTCGTTTGCCAGCGCGCCGTTAAACGTCTCGCTTACTCTATATAGAGTATCACGGCGATCGCAGGATGTCTTCGATGACCGAGATCCATCCGAACGTACGGTCATTAGACACGTGCGCGATGGAATCGAAGAGAGCCCATAGAAGAAGTTACCGTGCACCTTCTCTCTCTTCTGATGGACACTTTTGTTTAATTTAGATTTTCATACAGGAATAAATCGACTATACCAGAAGCAAGAAATAAGTAATCGATATTCGAGAAACAATTGCACGAAAAACCGTGACAAAGAGGAACAACAAGCATGAACCATTCGTTAACAGATTGTATTAGAAATTGCTGAATAAAATATTTCTTGCTTTCTTTTTCGATAATCGAGTGTTTAGTATTACGATCAACCTAGTAGCACCTATATGTTGGGTCTCACGGTGTTACTTCTGGGAGGATAAGTAGCTAAGTCATTCGGTCCCCAACACTCACGTCTTTTCCAAATGGTTCCTCATATTGGCAACCACCTGTGACCCATGACTGATTTATGATGACTGTCGCAACACCTGTCCGTAACATTCCTGTATTCGTGAGTGAATCCATTACTTAAGAAGGTTGTTCCATGACTAATAGCGTAACAAACTCGTCAACTGGGTCAAGATGACATCTGAGATCGCGACATTGGGTACCTCGCTCGGGAGTCTGCAACTGACCAAAACAGAAGATGATATCGCAACGTTGTCCAATTATATTTTTGAACGAAGCGACTATCTCGAAACAACTACCTTAAATAAAAATAGTCAAAGAACAGTCGAGCGAGATTTTAATTAAAACCCCACCATTAAATATATTCGCGGAACTACCTCAACAGCGAAACGAGTCGTTCGACAGGACCGCGGGGAAAAAAATCTCAGCGGATCACCGGATACGTCGCAGCTGCGCTGAAGGCCTGGAATCGGTTGAAATTTGCGGACGGCTAATGACAAACTCCGTAGACCTATGCAAATCCCGATAATGGTGTGCAATTTGCTGCCCGGTTCGTGTGTCGATGTCCCCATTCCGGGTGAACGTAATTCCTAACGAGACAACTGTAACGCCGCGTTTTCCAAACACGCACCGAAGGGTGACACGTGTTCTCTACTTCCTTTTTTTCTTCAAATCTTTCGCTCCTCGGGAGACACGCGAACTTGTCGGAGAGAAAAAAAAAAAAAAAACGAGAAGCGGACTCGCGATTTCAAGGCTGCTCGTTACGAAAGCGTCGAAGAAAGTGTTACGCCTGTAATAATTTCCGAACGGGACAGTCGATGGTGTAACAGTGCTCTCGTAACGGGGCAGCATGCGAAAATCTGGTTAAAGGTCGTCGAATGGCTCGTCGAAGCGAAACGTGAAGCGAATCCTTCGACGAGGGATGCTTGACCTTTTCGCTCGCTGGTGGACTCCTGGCGAACGTTATGCGGAAGACTTTCCTCGCGGTGAATTAATGCGAGAGATTGTAACATATAGGACCGACTGGTGGATTAGGTAATACAGAAATAATTAAGACGCGGAGGTATGGACTTTGATCTGTCTGATTATGGCGCGGTAGTTGTGGTATCCGAGAACTGCGGTACCAAGCAGGGATACTATTGAATGTTCTGTGTTTGTTGATGGCTTAAACGCACCTTTCGTTACAATTTTTATGAATAGTCTACCTGGACGATCAGAAGGTTTTCTTCTTGACCTAGTTGTTGCTGTTCTTGCCCAGACTTCGTTGTTAAGTTGACGGACAACCTTCTTAAGTAATTGTCTTTTTACATGATGCCGCTATAACAGGCATCACAGGCCTCGTGGATGACGTGAGACGTACATGTACGCTTTTTGTATACTACAAAGGTACATATCCAGTCATCGTGAAACACTCTATACAATATCTACAAAGGTACATACGCAGTCACCATGAAACACTGTATACGTACACAAATATCCCGCAGACGTATATACACAATCGCCATGAAACGATACATACCCGTATATATACGGTGTTGAGTTTGCTGGATTCGTTGGACATTCGCCGCGATCACGGAAAGGAACGTTGACCCAGAGATATACTTTTCCCTGTGATTCGCTACGCGTCACGCAGACGGGCCTAACGCATCGTAGGTCGAGCGCGACTTAGGTAATCCCTTCGTAACGGTAAAACATCCGTGTAACGTCCGTTCGTGCGATAGCTGGTGTGCGTGGAACTGGTTCCCTTCGATCCCACTTGTTTAGAACGCACGTGACCTATGGGATACCAGACTGGGTGAAGGTGGTACGCGGTCGCGCCAATCGAGTCTCCATTTGAACGTCGCGGTGACCTGCACTTTCTATTCAAGCATCCAGATAAATGCATTCTAAATGTATTATGTATAACAATTGAATTAATATTAGTAATCGAATTTCGGGAAAAAGAAGTTCCAAGCTTTTAATTTTTATTCCCGAACGAAAAATGTTCGTCTTGATATTCTCTGTGAGGTTAATAGCGTATTTATTTCTACGAAATTTCAGCTCTAATTTCTACTTCGGTTTCAAATTACAGACACGACGAAAAACGAACGTTGAAATTAATAGCAGAAAGATTCTTACATAAGGGGTCACTGATTACAGAAAATTTGCCCACAAAGTATACAAACGATATTATTAATGGTAACGAGCCCAATAATTTCTACGGTTACTCAAGAATCGGGGCAACCGTTCCTGCATTCGATTAGTTAATGTTATAGAAATAATCCGAATTCATGCATAAAAGAACCGCTTCCTGCTTTCTCTGTGCGTGTTCGCGAAAAGAAAGAAAACCTCTGCCATCACGTATGATGGTTTTGTCAGTTTCATCCGGCTGGCATGGCGCAAAAGGACTGACAAATGGCGATACTTTCATGTGAAAAAACCACGTATTCGAGCGGAACAGTGATAACGGTAGACCGGTCGTATCCATGATCACTTTCTCGTAACTGAATTAGATTCCTATTTTTTTCAACGTCATTTTACACAGGTGGCGCAATCGTTTCCCAACGCCGACACCCCGTGTGCCGTAAATTCCAGTGGTGAGACATTTTTATCGAGCTGGTTTTCTGCGCTATATATCAAATTGTGCCTAATACGTCACTGAAATTCGTTGCATAAACGTAGCTGAATCGTATTGCGTAAGAGGCACTGAAATCTGAAGTTTATTCTACAAACGGCGCTGGTGCTGCGTAAGCGTCGCGTGGCAATCCCCACCACTTTTGCAGGCTCGACGTTATAAAGCCAAAAATGACAGAAAATGAACAACGAGATCACTTATAGCGAATCACGCAATTATTTTTACATTTTCGACTGAGAGAATAAGTTCCTAACCCACTCTAGAATAAATATAGAATTCCCAAGATGATGTATAATATAAAATTGAAATAATGGCGATTGAATCGTGGACTCCGTCGGGTCGTAAATGAAATTATGGTTAAACGAACGGAACTATAGTCCGTGGTTCAACGAACCGTTGATTGCTACTCGATTTCCTTGCTCGAGTGTCCTGGCGCTGTTAATGTAAACAGTGAATTTTAAGTTTAAATTAGCGCCGTGGCGTGACGATTCGAATTCGTGTCACGCGTCCAGGATGATGTGTATATTCGAAAGAGTGGATCCACCGAATGATAAATAGTCGGAGGACCACCGTAGCGATCGATATTTAACATAAACGCGATCCGATCGGAATCCCCAATGGCGGCCAGTCACCGGCGAAACCTGTTTCTAGCGATTTTTAACTGTTTCAGCGTCACGCGTCGCATCGATTGACATAGTGATCGTATTCGAAGCGAAACAGTGTCACGAGCTTAGGACAATTATATACGAGCAATTTTTTCTTCACTTTTATCTACTTTATTTCTCTCTTTTTTTTTTTTTTTTAAATTGACTGAAAAGAAAATGTTCATTTACTCTTTAGAGCTTCACCAAAATTACTACGATCTAAGATTACAGTATTCTTCATCTCTCTGATGGAGCATGCTGCTGCGTTGATATAAACGACGAAACTGATTGAACGATACTGGGTAAAAATATCGCTACAAGTTTTGCTCATTATTTTCTCCAATTTGAGACTCCAAAAAAAAAAAGACACGGACTCGTTACGGACACGTTGATGAGAATCGGTGAACGAGGCGTGTAAAAATTCGTGGGAATAGAAAGTACGAGATTGTAAAGATACGGAATTGAAATTGAGAGAAACGTAAGAGTGGCGCCCGGTTTAGAAAATGTATAGTGAACGCGGTGGATTCGGCTGATGAAGATAGGGGATATGGTGTCCGAGAGATGCGAGATAAAAATATGGGGTAACGTGACGGACGAGATTTGGAGAGAATTATGTTCTCGAATTCTGGAGTTATTTACACCGAGAGAAAGTGCGCGAATTATTTTTTTCACGTAAGAAAACTAAAACCGAGAGAATTACAAAATTCAGGCATCGATGCTCGAGTTCATGGTTCATCGATACATTCGCATGTTACGATGTGGACGCGACGCGAACACAATGCCATTGCCGATCACTGTCTACTCCTAGAATTAAAAATTCGCGTGACGCGTTAATAGAACCCATCCAGGCGCTAATAGTTGGTAATAGCCTGGGAATCTCATAAATTTTCATGCACGTTGCATAAATTCGCGGTAACCACGTTTTTCTTGTTTTTATGGCGATCCACGCGAAATGCCATCATCCACGTATAAAAGTGAAAGGGCCCGTGTAAATTACGCAAAAAAATAGGTCGCTTACCGCGGCTAGTAATAGCTAGTTCGGTAATAAACGGAAAAACGAACTTGATGTCCTTGGCGAAATTCCGCCTTAAGGATTCCACGAGGTGTGCCGCAACCGCGAGTGCTCGACTCGCGAAACCCTTCGGCTGTCCTAGAATTTTAATCGCTTTGCTTCCTGTCACTTTCGAACGGTCGAATTTAACGAGGCGAAAAGTGTTCGTGATACGAAAAGTCTTTAGGGTGCGCTAGAGGCTGAACGAAGTTCGGCGCCGCTTGGATGTACAGTGGCCCGAGCACCTGTAAGAGCATGTGTTCACATGCCCCGTGTCTGTTCTAGATTGTTCGCGGCCAACGTTACGCAACATGGCGACGAAATACGCAATAATCGTCAACGATGCAAGGAAAGAATACGAGAAGGGGAAGCTAATTCTGGATGCTTTGAACATGGCTGTTCCTAAGGGATGCATGTGAGTAGATATGTGGGCGTGGCTAATCAGAGACAGTGGGCGTGGCGTAGCTATAGTGGGGTGGGGGTAGACGCGGCCAACCAGTGAGAAAATGGGCGTGGCATACCAATAGGAATGAGCCTATCAGTGGGAGTGGGCGTAGCCTACCACTTGCATGTGCTCGTTTAGAATTAATTTTGTACTTACCTTGACGCACAGATACGGTCTATTGGGTCCCAGTGGTTGTGGCAAGACCACTCTGCTCTCCAGCATGGCAGGCGTAACAAAATTGGACAGCGGCGACATTTGGATTCTCGGAGGCAAACCAAAATCTAAAGAATCAGGCATTCCAGGCCCGCGAGTGGGTTACATGCCGCAAGATGTGTCGCTGGTCGACGAGTTTTCTGTAATCAACGCTTGTTACTATTTCGGCAGGATCAACGGGTTGGATAATCACATAATCGGTAGGTTGGCAAACTTCGACTGTCTTAATCTTAAACCTTGCGATAGTCTTATAAGGAACAGAATTTTTGCAGCAAGGCAAATCTGTTTACAATTGGTTATTTTAGAGGAGAGGTATTTGTTCCTGAAGGATCTGCTGCAACTACAGCCCAGAGATCACCTAGTGAGGAACATGAGCGGTGGCCAGCAAAGAAGGCTCTCTTTCGCGGTCGCGTTGCTTCACAAGCCCGAATTACTGATTCTCGACGAGCCAACCGTCGGTCTGGATCCAGTTTTAAGGGACAAGCAAGTACAATTTCATTCCATTGTCTCTCGATCGACGGGGTCAACGGGACCATGAAAAATAAGCGTAAGGTTGTTTGTACAGTATCTGGAACCATTTGGACAAGATCACGCGCGAAGATGGCATCACGGTTATCATCACCACCCATTACATCGAGGAAGCGAGACAGTCTGACACGGTGCATGAACATTTCGATCTGAAGCTAAAAACATTCTAGTTTCGATACATAATAATAACAGTCGTGTCTATTTTCAGATCGGTCTACTGAGAAAGGGAAAACTGCTGGCAGAAACATCACCCAACGAGCTACTGGATATGTTTCAGACAGACTCCTTGGAAGAAGCGTTTCTCAATTTGAGTGCGCGTACTCAAACCAATTTTCAAGACAGACCGCCTGTCTCGATAGCTGAAATGAACAAAATGTTGACCGTGGAGTCCATTTACAACAGCGGTTCGAGAAATGTTGGTACACGTCTAAAACTAGTATATTGGGTGTTGGAAAGATCATCGTAAAGAAAGATTCTTTACGTGAAAACGTTGCGAACGTGTTTATACCTTCAGTGGATATACATATTGAACGCCAATTACACGTCCAACATATCTAACCATCAACCCAAACTAAAGATCGTCACGAAATTGAGAAAAACAACTAAAATGTTGGTGTTTCAGCACGCTCTCCAATGGCGAAGTAGCGCGTGGAAAAGATGCCACTCCCTGTTCATGAAAAACTACGTGCAATTTCTCCGTCACCCCGGGTAATCGACACGACGATAGATTATTTACAAATGGTGCGAAACGAAAGACATCCGATCGGATAATCGATTTATTTATGCAGGGGAATCATGTTCTCGTTGGTCCTGCCGCTAATGCAGCTGGCGCTGTTGTTCTTCGCCGTTGGCAAGGACCCGACGGGTATATCTATATCCATTGTGAACGACGAAGCTGGGGACTGCAATAATGGGAGAAATTGGGGCAATGTCACTTACGATGAACGCGACGATACGTGCAAATTCGTGGATCTCAGCTGTAGAATGATACACGGGATCAACGACTCTGTTGTGAAAAAGGTACGCGGAATGTTAATTGATGTCTGAATATGTATAATAATAATAATGTATCATAAGATTTTTTGTTATATGCAACGGAAAATAGAAAAACAAGGGTCAGTATGCATTTTCTGACGCATCTATGCGCCTGTAGTATAGGAAGGACGTATATATACGACCATGGAACGTGTAAATACGTCGATCGTAGCGAAATATCTGCACCAGTCGTGTTTAATGTCTAGGTGTATTATGACGACTACGAAGGAGCGGTGCGAGACATCTCGAGACAGAAAAGCGTCGGAGTGATGTATTTCAGTAAAAATTTCTCGAGCGCTATGGCAGCGAAGATTGAAGAATATTACGCAGTGACGGAGGAGGACCTCGTAGCTAGTCAGATAGACGTTATGATGTACACGCCAGGTATATTCGTACATATCTGCAGTGATTAGTATGTTAACGATAATAACGATTATTTCTCTTTCTGTTTTCAGACAGACAAATTAGCTTGTTCGTGCAAAGAAAATTATTAAAAAGTTTTTTTGAAGAATTCAGGGAGATCGTGAGGGCGTGTAGAATTTCTCCAAAGTACGCGAATTTTCCCATACGTGTACGTATGCCTTCTGAATTTAACGATTCTTAGGAGTGCGTGAAATAACAATATCATCAGTACGATTTCTTCAATTTTCCAGTTCGAAGAGCCGATTTTTGGCGAGCTAGATCAAAATTACATCACGATGATTTTTCCACCGTATATATTAATGTAAGTTCAACAAGAACGTTTTTAACGTTTCTTTGTTTTCCGAAGTGAAGCGTTTATTTATTAAAAATTGTTTCTTCACGAATGCATTGCCATTTTAGGCTGACGTTTATTACAACGACGTCTATGTGCTCGTCTATAATCATAACTGATCGACATTCTGGCATGTGGGACAGGAATTTGGTTCAAGGTAATTACACGTTTCTGCGAGCTCTCCGTGTAAATCCAAAAATGATAAACGAGTAAACGTCTATCATTATAGTGCCTGAATAAAGATTACTACTAGTTACTCTTTTTGACACTGTCTGTTTAAAATAGGTGTGAAAACTTGGGAGATTCTAATCACGCACATCGTGTCTCAAACATCGTTGATCGTTGTTCAAACTATAGTACTAATCTGTATATGCTTTTCCCAATTTGACGTGCACTGCAAAGGATCGATGATCATCGTATGCTGCATGCCACTGCTATCAGGAATTTGTGGAATGTCTTATGGTGAGTTTAATATCTAGCAATTGCAATAGGGGGAATAAAATAATACTGTTGTTGGGTACTATTTACAGGTTTCCTGATATCAGTTCTGTGCACTTCGCATACTCTCGTCAATTACGCGTCTGTAGGAAGCTTTTATCCATTGTTTCTCCTCAGTGGTAAGTGACTTGTTTCTGTCGCACGATTTATAGAGATTTTAAGAGATTTCTATCAAATCTTTATTTTTGTAGAACCCAGGAAATGGGGGATAGCTGAGACGATTCTGAAGCACAATTTCCTTTGCAAAATTATTGGATGGTGCTTCGTTTTTGAATTATTAACGAAAAACCACCGACCAATCGCAGCGCCCGAGTAGCGCGCGCTCAGCTGAGAGAGGCCGGCTCGAACCAGGACGCTCCGCCCACCCGCTGCGATTGGTCCGTGGGTTTTCTTTAATAATTCGATAACGAAGCACCATCCAACATTTTTGCAAAGGAAATTGTGGTTCAGAATCGTCTCAGCTATCCTCCGTTTCTTGTTCTTACACTAATTCTGCGCCACCATGTATATTATCTACCCTGTAAAAGGGTGAAAGTATGTACGAAAATGAAAATTGATTGGAATTTTCTAGGACTCATATGGCCAATCGAGGGAATGCCAGAGGCTCTCAAGTGGATCAGTTTAACCTTACCCACAACGCTACCAGGCATCTCGCTCAGAGGTGTTCTGGAGAAAGGGACGCCCTTCGAAGATCCGGAAGTCTACAGCGGATTTTTAATACTAATAGGGTGGATCCTGGGGCTCGTAATGATTTGCGTCGTTCATCTAAGGATGAAGACCACGTAGGACACGTGTGATCGCGATGGCGAAAGAAATAGAAGAAAAAAAAAAAAAAAAAACGAAATTGAAAGGAAACAGCTGATATTCGTTCGTGCAATTGTGAAAATGGAATTTCTTTTCACGCCTTCCACAGGGTCGATTTGTTTTAGGTATATCCAGTTAACTCGTATCGCGTGACATCTGTAATATTGTATTTTATTTGTATAGCGGATAAGAAAACACTTTTAATTTAAAACACAGGATATGGTGTATGCCCGAGTACGTGGCGTAAACGTTGCTCCGTTTTAGACATGTAGATAATACGAATTTTCGTTTAGACATAGGGTTACGTTGTAAAATACGAAATGTGTGAATAGAAACTTAAATGTGTTCATAATTGTGAATAAATACCAAACGTATATTTTTCAGTATCCCTCGATTATTTGTGTGCTATATCAAGGAGAATTCTTTTCTTTAAGGACACTGATCGCAGTTGAATTAAACGGAAACTGCTCGTAAAGGGTTTAAGTAAGTTTACCTGATGCATTTACTCTTGGTTAAAAATGTCTCGTCTTTAGTGTTCCGGGACCACAATGAAACGTTCCACGTCGTAATTCGATCTACAAAATGTAAAGGTAAGAATATCGTTAAGCGGATCCGGTCGTGAATTATGGGAAAACAAAGAACTTAAACAATTTAAAAGGAGATGAAACGATTAAACGAAATTGATCTTTCATGGCGTCAATGAAATATAGTTCTTTGTTTCTGATTTATTTATCGCCTCTTATACGTTTCCACAGTTATACATGTTTACGACATTCACTAGATCGGATTAACATAGTATACAAACATATACAACGTGCGAACTATGCGAACATTTTTCTTTCTTTTTTTTTCTTTTAAATAGTTTGTAACTCGTTCTTAGACTGGAGAATATTTATTAATAACAGTATTGGGATACGTCACATCGACCATCGATCTTTTGGAATATTGTTTCTGTACAAAAAACTGAATAAAAAATAACGCGGGCATTTTAGGACATATCACGTGGGCGTTACACTGCATCCAAGCACCTTCTAACGATCACATCTACATTCGAACATACAATCAGCGCGATAACCAACCGAGACGAATGCTTTATGCGAGATATCATAGAAGTATCTGGCACTTCGGTGAAAGGCTGTTAAATAAATAATGCGACGTTACCACAAAATCAATCGAGCCTCGTACATTTTTCTTACGCTAGACTTCATCGCAGCCTCTTTAATCGTTGTACAGCTGATCGCAACAAATTATCACTGCTTATAAAACGTGGAATTCTTTCCTCTATTTTCACATATAAATTCTTTCCAAAATTTAAAAGAGTTAACTTAGAAGATCAGTGAAATTCAGCGTGACAAAATTGAGAATTTCGATTCTTGAAGAACTTGTACGATTTATGAGAAGTCGGAGCGAAGAGTTGCTAATTACAAATTCTAGTTTCGAGAAAATAAAAACTGTTAATTATCAGTCTGCATTCGTATACCGATGTTTACAAGTACTCTCTGCTTCTAGATTATGACAAATTTCGTTAGAAAATATTCAACGCTAAAAAGTTCGTCAAATTCTTTACGCCTTTCGAGTTTTTACCAAACCATTCTCTCTGTCACTCAACATCCTCTCTCTTTTCCAATGTATACAAAATATGATTATTTTGATTTCTTTTCGTATATTTTCTCTTCTTTTTCGTTTCCACGACTACAAAAAACGCTAAATTACAGTTGTAGCTACCGAAATTCATTCTACATTCGATCGCGTATATTCGATGAACGAAATGCACACTACCGTCTATAGTTTGTACTTTCCCTTGAAATTTACGCGAAGAAAAATGATCTAGTCGCAGATATTAGAAGACAATTACGTATCTCTTGAAAAATGGCGTCAAAGGTGATGCTGATACTTCAAATAATTACGTTAAATTACGTTTTAAACTGTAAGTCGTAGACGGTAGTGTACAAGTGAAAAACAAAGTGAGCAATCGCAGACGATTAATTGCAAGATAAAATACTGTTTAATCTAACGGAACACCTGTTATTAAATTCTAACTCGACCCTCGTTTTTTGAGTTGCTTAACGAGTACTCGCCGCTCGACGCAACTAACAAAACGCCAGTGTTCCATGATAATCTAGAATTTCGAACCTGAAAATGCCTGAAAGGAGTCTAAAATCGCGATCTACGTATTGTTAGGTAAACAATTTTAAGCCATATTTCCTTTTCATTGAATAAAACTACGTGAAACTGATTGCGAAAACGAACGTTCGTTTTCCTCGGCGTACTATTAAATTATTAACAAAATTACAGGCGGGAGAGATTCTGCGCAACGCTCGCTGCGACTAGGATGGCCGCAGGCATTGAAAAATCATACAGACGCAAGTAAAATATTCTTGCGCAGTGGTAGATCATTGTTGAATATCGTTGATTAACCCTTTAACTAAGTGTATATATGCTCTCTAAAAGTAAAAAGTCGGTTATGTAAAACATACATATGATCCTGTCGTCACGATGCAGGATTGTGTCAAAGGATTAACACTGATCACGAAAAGCTCTTAATTCGTAATTCTTTAAGGCCTGATTCGAATTAGTCTTTAATCGTATTTTACCCGAAGAAAAATGGCATTCAATTCAATTCATGTAGCTTCGAATCTATCTCGTCAGAATTCCTAAGAAAGTAAAAATAGAGGTTTGTCTAATTCATTGTAACAATAACGTGCCAGATATCAAACAGAGCGTTTTTTTTTTTTAAGTATTAAACTACGTGCTAGTTGACAAGCTTTTGAACACGTGGATTTACAGACTGAGTTATCTAATTGAAGAAAGATATTGAATTTATTTTTGGAATTTAGACACTCAGTCTGCGTATAAAAGAAATATAAAGTTCGTTTTCGAGAGGAAGCAGTGCTGGGGAGAATAGACGTGTGAAACAGGAAATAGTAGTTGAGAGATTATTGTAAAAATAGTATATGCTCGTATGAAAGATGTTTAAAGTAATCACTTCGTCAGTAGATAAGATTAATATTAAATAACGTTCTCTGTAAGAAAAACTCATTTGAAAGGCATTTCTCAGTGAAAGATATGTTAATTCCTACAACTATTTGATTTTTTTTTTTTTTTTATTATTAAGATGGATACGTGACAATGTATCAACGAGGCAATCAGATCAACTAATAACTATTGCATAATTAATCGAGTACGTACTTTCCGTCATTGCCAAATATCTTCCACTATGTGTTCAATATCGATTGTATCAAAATGTTGTAGCCTCTGCAGTTCACTATTGTACATCAGAAAAAGAATCTTCCAAAAAACGTATATATAAATATATATTTATACATTTGTTAAAAAGAATTCTTGATTCTCCAATAGCCAAATCTCCTTAGAATAACAATACAAATGAGACACTACCAACACTACCCAGAAACTGTAACAAACAATACCTAAGAGAGCTTACGTATAAATAAATTACTAATTGTAACAAATAACCCAACAGACTAGAAGACAGGAACTCGTCTATCAGTTCAACCCAAGGAAACAAACGAAATAAAATTTAACTACAAATATTAAATACTAGTCGCACTCAATGAAAGAGGGAATATTTAGTCAAGTAAATAACAACCGACCACTCGAGGCTACTCGAAAGACTGTCCTCGATACACGGTATCACGGGGGTCGTGAACGATGTAATTCGTGGTAATACAAGTAGCCTTGAGTAGCGAAATGAGTCTAATCCGGACTGCGACCGTGCTTCTCTGTACGAAGCAACTTTCAGTGGACCTGTTTCACGTACTCCCGGAGTTGGCCAGTGATCGCTTTAACGTCGAATTAATCGTTAATTGTAGCCTGCGTTTGGAGTACGCAGTTTCGAGGCAGTACAGTAAAGACTGGATACGTGCAAGAAAATCGCGACCCAAACGTTGCATTTCTATTCTGTGTTTATATCTGGCTCGAGTCGAGCGTCGAAAAGGACAGAGTGAAAGAGAAAGAGGTCCGAGGAAAGGAAACAGTCGGCAGAAACGTACCGGTGAGGCAATAGTAATATAAGAATAAGTCTCACCGATATCTCGGTTATGATCATATTAAACTGTCGCTTGCCGAGCGTCAAGGAGAACCCCTCCAGTGGTGGGGATAGTCATCTTGTATTTATCCAGTCTTTACCGTAGTCTGTTGTAATTCGGAGGCAATAATCGTGTCTATTAATCACGATTATCGATTAGTCAGGGATTGCGATCGTGGATAGCGATGTGCCCAACGCCGTGTACTCCCCGGCACTGCGAAAAAAGGAAGTCCTAGTCGCGGCTGGTTGCACAATCAAACGGGAATTTCTCGCGGATACTAAAGCTTTGAATGTTCTCGTAGGCGTGTACGTTCTTGTTGTTGTTGATGTAGCTGTTGATGTTGTTGCTGTTAGCCGTGCTGCTAACGCGACCGGCGCCGTTACTATCGCGATTGTTAGTAGCAGAATAAGTACGTTTAGCAGTAAGGCAGGGGCCGCATCGGATTGGCATGGGTCGAGCAGCAACGAGACAGTCAACTATCTGTCTTACAGTAGGCATGCAGGTTTTGCTGTACCCTGGAAAACACATATCACATGCTCCATCAGAACCGAACCACACATCGACTTCTATCACGCCATCGGGGGTAGGGGGTCTCCGCTTCGTTATCATTCTGGTTTCTTTATCTTTCTTAACAACCGTCAAAATTGAGAAAGAGACTGACTGGTTAAATTATTATTATTCTATAGCCCTTGATAATTATTCTTTAGCCCTTCGACGCTACCCGGTCCCGATCAGATTACGTTTCTATTAAATTTGGATCACGATATACAGGGCGATGCGTGCGATAAATCCATGAATATTAATTAAAAACGTGTCTATTAAATGCAATAAAAGTTCAGATGTTAACATTTAACGTCATAAATTGGGTACTGGTAACCCGAAGACTGCGTTATTCATGATCGTTGAATGTATATATGAGTCGTCATAGGTTAGATTATTTGCAACTTTCATCGCGGGAATAATGAGATAACGTAGTGGCTTTGAACTTATGAAGACGCAGGTCGTGAAATTTGAATAATATATTATAATACATGAATAATGCGTATATGCATCTATGACGAACCTAATATTTCCAGAGTTATCGAATTAGTCACAGCTGTCCACTTTAGCCTGTACTTTACACCAGAATAATTGGGATAAATATTAATCTTAAAAGCGACAAAGATAGCAAACGAAAATGAAGAACACGCGTTCCTTTGGAAAGTGATCTCGAAAATGATTTTTAACAATATTATATCGAATATCGACACTGTTTTCCCATCGGTTAAGTAATACGATTTTCTTTCGCAACTTTTCCTTTACGTTATCTCTTTCCACAATTTTCGGAACCTGTGAATCCTCTCGAACGTACCGATTGCGTGATAGAAGTCGCGATGGCCAAAAACACATTTCATATGTCCCACGAAATCATTTCGAGTACAGACAACAAAATAACGAAGATACGGGAGTAGAAAAAAGAAGCGGAAGTTGGTCGAAAAAAGATACAAGGGCGGCCTAAGGCCGGTTTATTCGCACTCAGGAAGCACTTTGTAAATTAACCCTTTGCGGTCGAGGGCCGGAACACATCCAGGTAGCCATATTCGTTTTGTCAACGGCAACTTTCTCGTACCCTATGTAGACTACAATTTTTTGACAAAAATAAATAACGTTCTCTACGGAGATATAGCAATAGAATTTGGAACATCTACGTCACGACTGGGCGCCGTAATTGTTTCGATGAGTGGCGAGCAAGTGGTCCAGTGGTGCCACCGGTTCACCTGCTCGCCACGCGCTGAAATAATTATGGAGCCATGATCTCTTTCATCAATAACATCGATAGAATTCCGATTAGTACGATATCTTTTTTAACCTATTAGGCGCCAGAACTTCAAGTGGAGATAATATTACTTTCTATTGTTAAAAGACTAGACTCTATAGTTAATAGACTAGAGAACTTGGAAGTAATTCATCAAATAATTGAGCATTCATACATGGAATCTACTAAAAATGAAATCTATCAAAAATACAGTTTTCAAAATATTCTATGAACCAGACAGTGGCGCCTAAAGGGTCGAATAAAAATGCGTCCCCAAAGGGTTAAATGTCCAACACCGTCAGCTTGAGCATTTTTAACACCGCCTTCGTCTATCTACGTCGCGACACAGTAACAAGAAGAGCGAACAGTTTCTTTAGGGATGAGCAAATAAGACTCGCGTACAGGGCTGCCAACCGTGCTCCTTCAGAGACGGCAATCCTTTTTTCGACTTCGAAGAAAATGCTTCAATTTTTAATCTCCTCTAAACCATCCTGATTTTTACCACTTTTCGTATACTAGACGCGGTTGGCAACCCTACTCGCGTACCAAGACTAACAAAAAGAGGTCAGGGAACGGATAGGTAAGAAGACGTCCTTCTCAAACAAAACACGATCGTATCTCGCAAAATCATTCCCAAAAAACACGATGCTCCCTCAACAGTGGCAACGTCAAAAGTCTCACTGCTGGCGGAAGAGTATAAAATATAGCCACTATAACAGAGGTACGCCTAAGAAGCTCAGCCATAATTCCAAACAATGACTCCGTTTCCATTGCACCCGAAACGTGTCGTCGAGCCGATCCGAGCATTGATAATGGAAACACGGAAGATATCAAGAGGAAACAAAAAAAAAAAAAAAAAAAAAAAAGAAGAAGAAAAAGAAACGAACGCTTCTTCCGAGAGATTTCAAAATGGTTTCCGTTGCTCGAGACAGCGAGCGATTTCATCACAGTCAGATGCAGTGGAGGTTTTCACTGTAAGAACAGTAATTGCTGGAGGGATTTCTCAAGCGAGATTCATGACAGAGGCGCATGACACCGTGCAACAGGATACAAGATACAAAGGTAGAGAGACTGATCATAACTGCCATACTTACAAGGAGAGGTCGCAGCACTGAAGTGTCGGATAATTTTTGTTTTCTTTTTTATTTGATTTGATTTGATTTGGCGAATCTAAGACACGGAATCTAAGAATCGAAGTTTACGGACACTGCGTAGTACATTGGTATTTGAAATTCATCCCAGATTCACCAAGAAAGAATTCTGATCGAAATCGACGATTCCACTTCCGTGTCCCCTCCTTGTTAGTCCTCTAATCGAAGTCTACAAGCTCGAGACACTTCGGTGCGTAATAGTCACGAGATTAAACGACCCGGCTCCCCTCCCTCCATCCCTCGATCGCTTAGAAAAAAGTGTCGACGAAATAGTAGAAAACACGATTTAAAAGGTTATAAAAAACAATTGGCACGTTTTCAACGAAGAATTACATGGTAGACTTAGGCGCGACACGCATACTCGTTACGAGTCGTAACGTTCGGGTGATCGATGTACAGGGTGGCCATGGATATGTGACCTTTGACGTAATTACCGAACGATGTGAAATACGAACGTAACAAAATTTATTGTTATTTTACGGCCTGCTTGTGTTTTTAAATGAAACGCAATAAATGACTGTGGGTCATAGCAGGCGAGTTTCAATCATTTTTTTCCCTATTCCTTACCGTTTGGCGATTGTTTCAAAATATTTGCATGTTTATGAACACCTTGTACACACCGATCTCGCGTTACGTAGTGTGGAAGAAAAACTCAGATGAGCGGATATCCCTGAAACGCTTCCCCGATCGATGTACCGCAGCCCATCGTATCGCTTATATAATTTATAGAATAATTTATATTTAGTTGAAACGATTTTCCTTAGTATTGACACGTTATTTAGGATTGTCTCGATAATTTACCGCCTTCTGTGTTTGTGCGTTGCCAAGAACATTCGTGGCTCTCTTTGTTCACCTCAATCACTCTGTTAACCCTCTATTCCATAAATTTCATTATAATCTTCGAGAAGGGAATTATTTCTTGATTGTATGTACGTTCGTGGATCAAGTAGTACTCAAACTAAAGGCTAGGTGAACTTCATTGCTTCTTTAGGCTCCCAGTGAAACACATTATGCAAGAGAAGGTCAATGACATCGAGTGGCCAGTTGTCCATCCAAACGCCTCGAAAATTTCTTCCCAACGCACGTATCAACGAAACATTCTCTCACGATTCCTTCGAATCGATCGATCATGTTCGACAGTGGCGGCTCTTAGATTAATTCGTTAACGCGATATAACGTCGGTTTTCTTTTTTTTTCTTTTCTATTCTTTTTTTTTTTTTTACTGCGTTCTCTAAAAGGTTTACGAAGGCCTGTGTTCTCGTATGCATATTATACTCGTTAGAACTTTTCCTATTTACGACGATCAACGTGCGACTTAATAATACGCTTCGAGATTTCGTTCGTTCGCAGCTCCGTCGTTTCCCAAAAATCTCGTCGCGCGAATTACTTTATTTAAATAGAAATCGGTATAAAGGACGTTATCAAAAACGCGGGAACTTAATTTCAGATCGATTCCACGCGACAATACGAATCGAAAAGTCCTTTTCCATTTCACAATCAGAGATTTCGTTATCGAGATACAAGCAGCTGAAGTTCTGGACGCGTGCGCGTGCGCAGCGATCAGCTGACAGGGGATATAAAATGGCGCGCCATGAGTCACGGGAGTAAACTTTGATTGCTCGTATCTACGTAATAAAGCATAGGATTGTAAAATGGTCAAGGACTTTTTGGTTTCTTTTCGCGCGAATAATCGATTCTGAAATACGGTCTGCGGTTTCGTTAACACCCTGTATAGATCATTATCCGAATGAATAATGAACCATTATAAACCATCCTTGTCCTTAATAATAAATCTAAATTGAGGGAGTAATGGCTGTGGGATTCATTTTATATTATAAACGCAATTAAGGAACTCTCGTGAACAATTCTGAAATCACATGTTTTCAATATGTATGAATTGTTTCAATGAAATGAGTTGGAAAAATGAAATACTTTTTATTTTTCTAATCCACCTCATTCGATCAATGACCTAATTCATGCTAAACTTGTGCCTCCATAATTTGTTAAAAGAGTTCTAGAAACACGATCGCGTTTACGATATGAAATGCTCCCCTTACTCGCTTAATATCGATTTAATTAAATAGAATCTATGAGCTGGATATAATCGTAACACTTCAGCGCTCCTCTCGCTCGGAGAGAACCTGTCCCTCGAGTGAGCTATACAGAGACACGTATTCGTCAGACTAGGCTATCGTACAGTGAAAAATCTCGGTATACTCTCGAAGGCGGCAGTCACCGTCGCAGGGTGAGTCGACAAGTCTGCTAAAAGTTTTCGGGTGACCTAACGAGAGCTCGAGCTAATTCGCGTGTTCTCTGTTTCCAACTAATGTGAGCAGTATCCTCTGAAAAATCGCGTTCCTCAATTCGTTGATTGTTCGTCTGCGTTAGAGCCATCTGGATTACAGAGCGGTCTCCTTCTCGCTGATGATCTTGATGCCGTGCTTGGTCAGGATCATCTTCACCGTTTCGTTGTCTCTGATGTTAGGTCTCTCCATCCATTCGACAGTGTCCCCTTCGTCCTCTCTGTCCAGGCCCTCTATCAGTGAGTCCAGGTTGTCCGTAGACGAGTCCATGTAGCGCACGTTGTCTGCAGACCTCTGCAACGACTTGCACCGCCTGGAGCTCTTCGGGGCGCGTATATTATCCGCAGAACCGATCAGCTTGCTGTTCCTAGGCCTGAGGATCTTATCGTTGCTCCTGGAGGACGTCTTGGCCAACTGAAGATTGTCCACCGACGAGTAGCGCCGTTTATCTTCGGAGACGATCGTTGAATCTTCTGGCTTCTTCCTCAGCAAGGACGCCTTGCGACTGATCCGCCTGGTCCCGCTGGACAGGATCGCTATCTCGTCCTTGGGGATGAAGTACTGCTCCTGCGGCTTCCTCTTGACCACTGACGGGTCGAATAAATTGAAAGACATGGATAACTGTTTCTCACCTTCGCGCGATGGCCTATCGTCCGCAGAGTTTGGCCCGCTCTGGAGGCCACAGTTCTCGATCTCGAAGCTGTCGTCGTCCAGCGACGGGTAGGTCGTGGTGCTGTCGACGATCCTGGAAACCTCTTTGGGAAGACTCCTCGACGACGACTCTAGCGTTCTCCCGTGCACGGGTCCCTGCGTGGAGAATATCGTCTCGCCGCAGATCTCGCAAACCTCGCACAGCTGATCGCAATCGTTCGTCGAGGCGATCCTCCTGTCCAGCACGTCGGTGGACTCCTGGAGGTTCCAGGAGCTACAGATGTCGCACTCCGTGGAGTCCTCGTCTCCCAGGGAGCTGCAGTTCGAGCGCAAAGTATAGAAATTCTCTTGACTTGGACTCCCTAAGGCTTCCTCGGTCCTCAGGGACATCTCGTTCCCGTAGCAGCAGACGGAGCAGTACTCCTCCGTCTGCATGTCCAGGTCGTTTGCCGTGATCAACTGGGAGGTGCTGTCCGCCTTGGACGGCTCCTCGTAGCAGGCCTCCTGGATGATCTTTATCGACTCGTAACTCTTCGACTTCTGCGAGAACGTCTCGTCGGTGTTCGATCTTCGCCTGGACGATGTCCTGGGGTCGCCGGTGGCGATCACAGAGTCTAAGCTTCCTTTAAGAGGCGCGTAGTATCGATGCGAGGACTCGTAGATCTTCGAACTGTTTGCTGTCTTCTGGGTACTCGATCTCGAGGACTTCCCCTCCTTCGTTCTCGGCGAGGATTTCGACAGAGACTTGTAGAACGTGTCCTCCGACTGTGTACACGAATCGGTACACTTCTTCTTCGCTTTGTCCCCGTTTTTACCTCGTTTCTCCTCGTTCTCGTACACTCTCATCTGCCCATTCTTGGTCTTCCTGGGACTCTTGCGTGAGTTCACCACGGACTTCAGATACTTACCGTCTATCTCCAGATTAACGTCCCTCTTCGAGGCGTTATCCACAGCCGAAGGTTCGTCTGAACCCACCTTCGTACCTTCCGGTTCTTCGTCGACTATTTCTTGAATCTTAACCGAACTCTCGTTAGGCACGGGCACAGACGGCTGTACCAGCAGACTGAGCTTGTCGATGCTCCTATCCGACTCGCCCTTGTATATCGTGATCTCGCCCTTACCCTGAACCCCGTTCTCCTCTAAGATCAACGTCGCGGCTTCTTTCTCGAAAGGGTTGTGTATCATGGCGCTAACCAGGACCAACACCTGGGTGTTGGAGCACCGCACGCTATCGCTGGCGAAACAGTCCTGCTCTACGACGTTGCTCTCGTTCGTGTCGTTCGAGCTGGACTGCTCCTTGCCTAATCGCGTCTCCTCGCTCTGTTCCTGCGCCTCGTCCTCCATGGCGTCATCTAAGCCGTAACGGGTCAGCCTGTAATCCTCTTTGTCCACGCTGAAGTCCGACAGAGCGCACTCATGACGACCGCTGTTGTCCACAGCGGACGTCACGGAGAGACTCGACGGCGACACCGAGGATCTACCATCGCCGTCTTTGCCTCTACTTAATCCTACGTCGTCCTCGAGCGTCGTTGGAACTCTGCCGTCGTTGGACTCGTTGTCCCTCGCCTCTACGCAGGCGTTCGTATCCTCCGTCGTTGAATCTTCCTGTTTGGCCGAGACGACGACGCTCGAGGACTCCTGTTCTACCTGGCTAGGTCGCGACTGGACCTCCGCTGCCGTCCTGACCGTTCTCTCATCGTCAACGAAACCTACCTCGTCGAGGATCTGCGACTCGCCGGTTTCGGTGGCGATGATCTGTTTCGCGAGACCTGGATACGCGGCCTTCGAGGTGGGCAAGTGTTTGGCGTTGCCGTTCTCGGCCACTAGGGCGTTTATAAATTTTTCGCGAGCCTCCTCGAGACCGCCGTGCCGTGCGGCTATGTTCGTGGCGTTCTGGATATTCTTACGGAGAACTGTGTCGGGCACGTCGATGGATATTATTTCGATCGGACTCGGGGAGTCCATGGTTACGTCGCTAGGCGACGGCGTGAGAAAAGTGCTTTGATACTTGGAGTCAATGGTCAAGTAATTATTCGCGTTCGGCGAGGTCAGTTCCAACTTACTTCAGTGTCCAAGGAGATTGGCAGCGTGAAAAACAAGACACTATTTTTTATATGGCACTAATCGCGGCGATGGTTCGCCATGGATCCGATTCAAGCATGAATTAAATTAATTGCAAAGTGGAAGCGATACGGATTAGTTCGCTCCTCTTCCACTCTGAAATTTGTCCACGGAATCTTGTCGGACAGCTTCGTCAGAGTTTCCCAAATTGACAACAGTTGTACCTTCATCCGTGAATCGGTATTCTTATCGTAATAATAAATAAAGAGTAACTACTTTAAGAACTTAACGTAATATTAAGAGAAAAAAAAAAAAAAAACAAGAGGAACGTAAAAGGTGGTAGCTAAAATTTATTCACAAATACAGAATTAGAAAATTGGCTCCTAGGATTTGATTTTACATAAAATGGAAGACTCTTAGACTAGACTATCATCTATTGTTGTAGGATACATCTATAGTGTGCATTAACCCTTTTAACATTCAATAAAGTCTTGTATGCGGTAAAAAGTACCTCGTTATTTGTTTAAAACATAACAAGTAAGGACAATCTGATTGTTTATATAAATATTTCGGATGATCAACAAAGCTACAGCACCATTGTAAACACTAAAATGTACTGGTGAATAATAAGTAAAAATAAGTTTCGCAATTTTTAATGATTTTACGATATATTGCGTGGAATGCATATTTAGTAGTTAGATATTTTTAAAATGAAAAGCCATGTGAAAACACATTTAATCAATCATTTACACGAGTATATATATATATATATGTATATATACATTCATTAATCATTTTTCTTTACAATAACTATAGTAGTCAGATCTCAACCTCTTTTCAATCTTTAAAAGCCGATACCTATACCGATTGAAAATATTTACAACGCTTAGGACGCAATTGTATCGATATATCGGCATTATTAAGTACTAAAAGGGTTAATTTTGAATCACATAATATACAAGTATATCACTTTGTGTAACAGATTTACATCTTAAACTAACTAGCTGCGTATGCTCTAAACTCACCAACTACATGGAATATGAGTGCTATAAAAATATATGCTTCTCATACAAAATATGTAAAAATAAATTTATTTTAAAAATCTACTGGAAGATATACTATTAAATTGTCACTATTTATATCAACTAGAAATTCAGTTAAATTATGTTACACTCACATTGTCGACGCCGTCGTCTTCGCATCGTATATCCCGTGTTTATAGACATAATCGATTACAGCATCCTGCAGGAGATATCTAACGCTTTCGCCTCGTTTTAGCGCCCTTCTTATCCTAGTTGAGCTAACTTCATTTGGAATCCATTCGGTTACTATGTATATATTGTGCTGCACACAGAATTAAACCAGAATTTTCAAATAAGATCACCATAGATCGCATCATTTTTTAAATAATTACTTACCATATGCCTGGAAAGAATATCTGAGTCATATATAAATTTATTTGGATTTGAGCCTTCTCTGGTAATAACTACGAGACCGTGTTCGCCGACAATAGCATCGATCTGTAAAAACAACAAAATTATAAGCATCTCTTCCTTAAGTAATCTGATAAACAAAATTGTACAAACTTACATCGTCTTCTGCCCACAGATCATAGGTTCCAAAACTTTCTAACAAGTCAGCACCGCACAACAACTTGATTTGGATAGGCGTATGATCAGAACTATTCTTCACATTCTCTGGTATCCACTCCAGATCTTCAATTGGTATGTGCTTAATATTGTTCGAGTCGAGCAACACAGAGTTCAATAAATTTTGGTGATGTTGCAAACTAATTCTAGTTTTTGTCCAACCATTTTGTCTAGTCTCCCAACTGCTCAGTCGAATCCAATCGCTGTTATGTAAAGCTAGTTTCAACATAGCACATCTGTGTGACGCGCTTGCAAGCTCTTTCTTGGCATATGCATCATGCACAGGAGATATGACACCGCCAACCACAATATGTGTTCCCATCCTGTGAAGATGATCACGGGCGATCTCTGCAAATTTTCCATACAACGTCATATTACATTCCATACATATTGAAAATATTTTGGGTGTATTTTTAAGATTTTCTTTGGATAATCAAGCTAGAAGCAGAATTGGTGTAATTGAAACACGAAACTACGTCTTATATTTTATGTTTCACGTAACTACTATACTAGACAATGAAATCAAATCGGATTGTTTACACAATGTTATCTTCTTGACAGCGTTTCAGTTTGTTTAAATAATCCGCGACGATGAGTATTGCAAAATTCGTGTTCGATGTTATGCATTTGTTTAAGAGATTTCTACGCAACGATTGGATATTGATTGCAAGGAATGATATATATGTACCAAACATTCTTAGGTGCATATTGGTCGGAGGGTTATAACTGCCACACGACATAAGAATAACACGCGTTGGTGCCATTTCTTCTCCGTCTGTTCCACTGCATGTGCTGACAGCAGTTTCACTAATTTGTTTAAGCCTTCCTCTCGAGGTTTTGTACAAGTAAAACACGGGACATTTAGGAAGATACGTAATAACTCGCGACAAATCGTTACACCGACTACCGTAACAACCAACTACACGATACAGGTTGTACACTGGCTGACGTTTCAGCCATACTTGAGACGGCACCACCACGCTAGTCAGTTGAGAAATTTTTTTCAACATTACAATATCGGAAGATATCTACATAAAATTTTGCTAAATTTCCCACATTGCTCACTTTGATTTTTTATATAACTCGGTGACTACTTCGATCAAGTACCAGAAACTTCGATCAACAGTCGATTGTTCATTTGACCCATGTTGGCATCTCGCTGGTGTTCAGCAAAGTGGCGTGTCGAACATATAATTGAATATCGACTTAATTCGTGATCTATCTACATTTACGTCGATATTTCGGTAGAAATTATCGTTTTACAAAATCTTGCGTTCAAGAAATTTACACAGAACATAGAATTGCGGTAACATTGACCGAGAAAACGAAGAATCGAAGATTGTCCTGAACGGAGGCAGATTCTGCTCGAAGATTCAAATTTACAAGAATCTTTGATTGCAAGTATGGAGTAAGTAATATTAGAGATAAAAGGTTTTCTTCGTTGCGTAAACATTATGTCGTGACCGAAATATAGGCGTGGCAGTTAGAATAACACGTAATATGTTTACGCGTAGGTATTCGGTTTGCAAATTCCTCGAATATCCCCTCCAGACCCTCGCGTCCTTTGTATACAGACGTTCAGTTTTGTGAACGTTGTATCAGTAACACGAAAAGTTTAACTCATTCAAAGTACGTAGTTTTCCTTTCAGACACGTAAACGATTCTAGATTTTAGCTGTACTATACATTTTATATATTCATTTTAATTCAATAAGCTTTAAATGTTTCCTTTTATATTTTTCAGTGGACGAAGAGGAAAGCTGTGTTGGCGCCAAAGTGCAATCAATTCTCTCGATCTTCGGAGGAGACAACTTCAGAGTGGAGCTCAAAATGGCTGATCGTGAGACGATTTCCAGAGGGTAGCTATATTACATATGTAGAAAAACTTTTCACTAATTATTATGGTGCACAATTATCGTCATTTGTGCAACATAATAATGTTATTAATATTTGCATACTCAAAGACAATGACGGTACGATTATGCTCGAATGTTTAGTAAAATCATTTATTTCGAAATACTTTGGCTCGTTTCGAAACATTGCGATGTTCACATATATATTTAACAATTATTTAAATACCTCTAAATATAAATATATTTCTCTCGGAGTTTATTGTCGCTATAAACTCCGAGTTGAGAGCTTCTTAGTTCCATCGCGTTTGTTTCGAGCATTTCAAATTACGAGGGTGAAAAAAGGACGAAATTAAGCTACGTGCTCGGAATTTATTTTCCATTTCTCCGGATGCCTTTTCATTTCCTGAAACTTGAAGCACGTTAATTTTGTTTGCACGCGAAATTGCGGTCGTGCACTTTTGGCGTTTCTTGCATAGTAAAGTACTTTTTTTCTTCTAGAGCACTCCGTGAGCTCTAACTATAATTGTTCAAGTACACGCGAAGTTAGAGTTAGTATTGTTACGCATTTAAAATTCATTCGGAGCCACGACGCTCTCATTGTTTTATAAATGCGGAAGTGGAGTTGAATTTGTCACTGTTAAGGAACTTTCAGTCGAGATGGTAAACTTTTTTCACCTTTGTGTTTTTTTTTTTTTTTCTATAACAAAGTACACGCAAATTGGTGATGCCAACGATTGTTGTTAGATCCTACGATAGAAAATCGTACGTGATATTTGATTGTCGACTAATTTAACCTTTATAATTCTATTGACAATAACGTATTTATTGTATACGACCCAAACCTCTATGGCGGTTAGAAACGTCGCCATGTTTGAGTTAATAGTTCTTTGTTTCCTTTATTTAAAGTGTAATTTTCTTTATCATTCGTTAACACCTAGATGTAAAGTCCAACGAGTTTCAAACTAGGACTGAGAATTTTATTTAAAGAGATGTACCAGATATAACATAGCAATTTATCAAAAGTCTAATCTATCAGAGTTACAGAAGAAAAAAGTGTTACAAGAATAGTAATACTCTACTTCCTCCTTAGAAGTTCAATTTTCTTTACTTGTCACTTACAAGTAGGATTAAAATCTGACAGCGTTTAAATTAGGATTTATAACTTTATTCAAAGTAATGTACGAGATTCGATATCACAGTTTTTCTCTGAACTGTGATTTTTCGTCTTACAAAGCCCAATTTTCTTTATTTCTCATTTGTAACTGGAATTAAAATCACAGGTCAAGTTACAATGTATGCCACAAAAGTTATAACATTTTTAATGATGATTCAGAACTTTCTTCGACCAACATGCATATACTGGTCACGCAATTTTGTTGAATATTGTTTACTTAGATATATAAAATGTAGTCCCATTTCATCAGCTTCACACAATCCAGAATGTTCTTTATCGCTCACTTAGACAAATTTAAATTAGTATTACAATTTTATTTATCTACCACAATTTTATTCAAACCTGCAACTCCCAACGTTCCAGTTCTACAAAACATTGATGTCCCCGCGAGACGTAGCTCGATGAATCAAACATTTTCCATTTCCATTTCCAAAGACGTAATTTCCTTAGCGACAGCGTTGATTCTTTCCACCCGTTCGCAAACAGATTCGTCCTTGGCCGAAGGGTACTCGAGCTGTGTATCAACGATACGATAACGTGCTGCGTGTCGTTGAGCATCGTGCTCGTGATACATGGGTTCCGTGAAACTCGGTCGACCCAGAGGCCAAACACAGAGAACGTTGGTCGGATTTTACTCGCCGCGAAGGGCCGATCGTGAGTGTCGTTCGTAATTAACGTGGATGCGTAGCGAACGTGTACTTCAGCCGGGTCGCAGGACCCTGAATCTAGTCGCTTTGTAAAATGTTCCTCTGCCGCGTGTGGAATGACGTCACGCGTTCATTTTCCTTCCATCCATCGTGCTGTCGACCCGATACGCCGCTCGCACGCTATTTCCTCTCGAAACGCTCGACGATTTCAACATTTTCACCGCACGTTCACTCGCCCTATCCCACCGCTATCTTTTTGTTTTTCCATTGGGAGCGTGACTGCCAATACTCGAAAAATATCCGAATGGTGTGGACGAAATTTGAATATCTGTTATTCGAACAGTGACATTATATACGCTCGGATGTGGGAATTTTGAAATTTTTGCCACATTTTTTTGGCACGTGTTCGATGAAATCTCGAATTTTCCAAATTTCCATGCTTTTTTGAGGTTTGAAGTTTCTTCAAAAATGTTCGTTTCGTTATTAAATGATCCCGGGCTCGTATTTTATTATTAACCGACTGGTTTCGCCCATCTGGGTTAAGCAAAGACAAGTTCAAGTACACGAAAATGTAAACATGACCCATTTGGATAAAAGTGAAAGGGCAAGGTTCAATTGCTGTTCCACAACCTAACTTCAAATTAAAGTTTCTCGCGATTTCAAAATAAAATAAAATTTCTCCTAAAATAAAGTTTCACATTTCGTATAAAAATCGAAAAATGAACACAAGAGAATTTTAGGGAACGTTTAAATTATACACGATCCAAGCAGCATTCAATATATAGTTCATGACGCCTGAATAATTGATTTTCTAATGGCTTCGATAGTGTAACTGGAAGCCCGAGGGTAACAAAACGGCAGACAGGTGATCAAAATTCCCCATAGCGAGCCATTAAAGTTTATACGAGATCGTGTGACTTTCATAGCGCGATCCATAACGGTCTTCAACAGCCATTAACCCGTTTCTTGAGCGCGAAATGCATCGACGAACATTACCCGTCCAGAACCAATCATTATCCTAGCTCGATACCCCGCCGAAGACGGATTCGCGCGCGCACTCGGCGTCGTTCCTGCAATTTGACTACGTTTCATAATAAATTAAAACCCTCCTTCGTCGGCAAATAACGTCCAGCTGCGGTGCCGTAATTTTTGCCACAAGTAAGAAATCAATACTCTGATACGGTCATAAATCCACAAGATGGCGTCAGAACGCGCGTATCGTGTTTGATCTTTCGCGGCGAGGCGAGCGCGTGCAACGAACTCGATGTGCACGCGGATGATAAATCTTATCTCGCGGACGGAGGTTCGGTTTGGTCAACGAGCAAGCCTCAATTCGCGTCTCGATCGAGAAATGGGACGCAAAAGTTAAGAGAAAAACGAAATTGTATAGATGGCAGTGTGAGAGTTTCGTCCGATGGGGGGCGTGGGTTAAAGAAAACGTCGTCTGACTCCGCCTATTTTGGCCATAGCTCCGCCCGGTGATACGCATTTATGCGTATCGAACGATGTAATTCTAATAGAAGTCAAAGATCGACTTAGAATAGTTCCACTCACCTGGGGCAGATCGTTGGAGCTCCATATTACAGGCACGCGAAGTTAGAGTAGTAGGTGCAGGCAATAAACAGTGACACGGTTTAATAATACACAAATTTTATTTTATTCATTTTTTTTTCTTCCCGCAGAATCGAGGAAATCATTTGTTGAGAGAACAAAACCTCTGCAATATGAATAGCAGTTACAAGTAAATATGTACAATAATATATAAGTGGTTGCCTTTCATTTTTTTTTGTTGCCATTATCAACTGTTTTCTGTTGTTTGTCTGGTATATTCCTACTTCTCGCACTGTTAATGATAATCGATAATGATAATCAATTAATTAATTAATTAATAATAATGATAATAATTATAAGAATCGCACTGAACCGTATTAAGAATATTTCCATACGTCCACCTGGTAATGGAGGTACAATCGTAGGCATACCAATCGACCATCGAATCATGACAATTATTGACAAATTGATAGAACGGTCCTTTTTATTCTGCTTCGCATTCCATTTCGCCCACCCTTTTCCAACACTCCCGCCAACACCCTCTTCTTCTCCCTAATACATGCATTTCCGATTTCCCGTTGCTGTTTACCATCCCCTATTGCTATTTAATTAAACCCCTCCCCCTTGTCTCGTGTGTATCGTTCCCGCACACGATATTTAGGCGTGCACTTCGCGACACGCACCTAACCTAACTTCTCCCTCGCATTTGTTCCACCATTTTCTCTCACACTCTTCAAATATTTAGAACGCGTCGTATTTTCACTCGTACCTTCGATTTCAGCCCTTCCCAAAAACAAAAAACCTTCGAGTCTTACTTCACATAACCCCTCCCCTTCCCGTCTACGCCTCTTACCGTAAAATTTTTCTTTCTTCCGTCGAAAATCATCGAAAGACTGCGTCGATACTCGACGAGCACGAAACTGGCTCGCGCAGTCGTTTTATTACACCTCCTCGTTCATTGTAACCTCCCCCATCGTTCTTTGTTCGCCACGTTTACTATTTCATCGGCTCGCTTCCTAAGATTAAGTCCACTAAGCGTTCCCTACCGTTGATTAAATGCTCATTGCGACAAGAGAGCTCAACGTGGCTCCTCCCTTATGATCATTGCTATAGGCCAGGAGCGCGAGTGGGCTGTCCATAGCGCGCGTGGGGGGAAACCACGCCTTTCAGGGGCGGGTGGCTCCGCCCATTATCGAATACTGGGTTGGACAAACAGTGGTATAATTGCGTTTCGCGATACTGATTGCCTACTGCTATTTCGTATTGGTTTCAGTTCGAATTTTTTCCGACCTTTCGATGACCAATGTCATCTTCGACCCTCCTTGCATAAATTTTGCTTTTTCTTCCGAAAAGAGTATTTACATAGTCACGAATGAATTAGCGTTCGAACGACAAATCGGATACGAAATACCGGATCCCTCCGAAATTTTCTCAGTGAACTATACAATGATTTTTCATTCTTCCGAATCAGATCTATCACGCAACGAAGAGTTCACGTGATACCTGTTGAAGTGTTACGTCAGGTATGAAATGGTTTTGGGACACGCCCACTCGGAACAGACCGCTCAAGCTCCAACCTATATCGCTCTCAGTGTTCCCATCGCTATTTTACATATACGCCACCTACTCATCCAGTCTAATCCTCCTTGCACCGTATCGCGAAAACTCTCGTTGATCGTGGGCCATCCTCCGCCCTCCCTCCCCACCCCCGCCATCCCTTATCATCCAACTTCCGCGTTCTCATCCCCTCGCCAACACTTCTCGAGCATTTCCTGCGGTACCAACCCCTTCTAACTCGCTTCTCTAACTCCCCTCGAGGATCGTCCTTGCAGGCCGCGCGTCTCGCCTCCTTTTCTGCCTCCTCTATTCGCTACCCTCGCCAGACCAAGACCAGAGGGACTCTCCGTGACAGCTTTACGTGGCTCAACAACGACCGAGAAAAGGACCGCACTTTTCGTCTGAAGGAGTATCGCCACGTGGCAATTGCGCGATTGCAATGTCGGCACCCGTGAAACCTTTCTCTGGAGATTTAATCTGCCCTCTCTCACGTTCTCCTCCCCTCCCTGCTACGCTGTTCTCGCCTTTCATCTGCTGTTCTGCTCTCTGATTCTCGTTCTTATCTCGTCTCTGGCTGCTCTTCCACGCTAGCCCTTCCCTGTCATGCTCTAGTTCTCGTCTCCCCGGCATCTCTTGCTCTCGTGGCTCGTCTCTTGGTCTCGTTTTTGTTAGGCGGTAGTTTTACACTCACTGCTATTTCGTCTCTCTACTGGCCAGTTTTAGATCATCTACCAGGTTCATCACTGGTTCCCATTTCTGTCTCATGGCTGTCTCTACCCCTACCTTCGTTTTACCTTAGCTCAATCTCACCCCTCGTTCTTCCGTTCCTCTTTTTTTAGCCACCTCTATTCCGTCTCTGATCCTATATCACATTCTCTGTGCCCTCTCCTCTAGTTCCCCTTTGTACCTTACTTCTTCTGCGCGGCCAGTTGTCGTTCCCCAGGTTGGTCAAGGCGTCTTAAGGTGTCGAGTCGAGGAGGACTCGACGACCGCGTTACTCGGTGAAAAAATGGCCGAGTCGCGTTGCTCTCTCGGACGATCCTCGAGTCTTCGCCCACCTCGTCGTTGAACCCTGTTCTCTCTCGTCTCTACGCCCCGTCTCTCGCGAAATGTCTTCGTTTATATTTCGGTTTTTCTTTCTTTTTTCTTTCTTTTTTGTTTGTTTGTTTACAATTGGTTCCTGAAACGAAAGCCCACCTCGCAATAATTAACGCGCTACCCCACCCCTCGTTAACAGGTTCCGTCGACGCTTTGTCACGATCGTCCCGGTACGTTCTTCTTCTTCTTCGTCTCCTCCTTCGTCATCGTCATACATCTTATTCTTCTTTTTGTTATCTGTGTCGTTAAATAGTAATCATCTAAACAATGAAAGCGGCAAAACGTCTCGAGGAAAAAGGTGTCCCTGAGCGCGACGGAAGGGGACGACGACGACGCGACGCTTCTTTGGGAGAGGTTTTCGCGAAACAGAAGAGACAAAAAAAAAAAAAAAGAGAGAGAAACAAGATACCGTCGCCCAACGTCGTCCTCGTCCCTTTCAACGCCCACAATTATCGGCCGCACCTGCACAGGACTGCGCGCGACATGTCCAACGCTCGAGATAAAAAGGAGTATCTGTTATCGACGATCGCGGGAAGCGTGGGTGGGGTTTCGGGAGGGGGCGAGGGTGTATACGTTCTATCATCCGTAACCGTCTCCCCCTTCCCGTTCGGTTCGTGTCTTTTTTTCCTTCCTGTTTGTACGCTGTCTTTGTTTTCCTTCGTGTCGCAAAGAAAAAAAGAGCAACCGCGTGAACCGCGTGTTTCCCTGGGTTTTAGCGTCGATATACGGTGGTGGGCTGCCGGTCCTGCGCAGGTATTCACGTAAAAAGAGGGACGCTCTTCTCAAAAAGTTGCATCATGTGAAATCGCATCAACTAAGTTCCTATGTTCCTTTAAATCCTTATTACAAGTACGGTAGTAATAGTAGTAGAAGTAGTAGCAGCAGTAGTAGTAATAGTAGTAGTAGTAGTAGTATTAATAGTAGGTTTTTTCTCGTTTTTTTTTTTATTTTTTTTTATTCGTTTTTATATGATTTAAGCATTTTTTTATCATTTAGTTTTCTGGTTCTGATAATCTAATAGACATCTAAAAATAACACCCATTTTTTTCATTATTATTTCATATTTGTATCTCCTTAGCGTTTTCTTTTTTTATTATTTTTATTTTAGTTTATCGATTCAAGTATTACTTAAAGATTCCTTAAACGTTAGACTGAGGGCCGCGTGATACGCCAAACACTGCGGGCCACGGGACGTCGGGGGGGGAGGAGGGGGGTGGTAGTGGTTAAACCGACGGGTTATGGTCGCGCGGACGGGGTGGGGTGGTGTGTCGATTATTTAAAAATTGCGTGTCGTTTGCTTTCCGATCGTGCACAAAAATACGTGCCGCGTCGAAAAAACGTCCGTCGTTGATTTGTGATTTTAAAGAACAACGCGTATGGCTCTCTCTCTGTGTGTGTGTGTGTGTGTGTGTGTGTGTGTGTGTGTGTGTTTGTGTGTTTGTGTGTGTAAGAGTATCCGGGTGTTTTTTTTCCGGTGGGAGGGGGGAGGGTGGGGTGGGTAGGGTTCCCAAAAAGATAAATCCCCGCGAATTACGAGGATTACCGACCCGACGACACGACGACCTCGACACTCCCCCCGCGACCCCCTCGAGTCCAGAAAATCATACGCAGTTCGCATACCACTGTTGAATTACATCTTACATTTATTTCTAGCGGCTGGAGTAACAAGTTTTTGTTTTATTATTTTTTTTTTTTTCTTATTTTTGTCATTCGTTTTGTCAGCTCAATACTGCGTCATATTTCATATTGCTGCTGTTGTGATCTGTACCCGAACCGTCCGTTCACAGTAAACCCTTCCACGTATGCACACTTCTTCCCCCCCCCCCCC